AATGTTGAATGTTTGAAATAATTCCAGACGTGATCAACATAGCTTCCTTTATCTTTGACAAAAGTTATGTGAATATTACTTAATGTACCTATAGCCTATTATAACGTCATCATTAGTTTGGACAAAATTTTCATATTTAATTCACTTGAAAATCTTTGAAAACAACTAAAATTATATTTGTAGATAAAATTATACATGCGCTTATAATATTACGAGTAATTGAAGCGAAATGCGAAGGAAAACCATTTTCATTAACAACTTTCGAAATTAAATGGAAAGAAATTAAATTAACTTAGAAGTTAGTAAAATTTTAGAGTAAACGTATTATCGACTCCCACCTAAATGGTTCTATGAAGTACGTTTTACAAATTTCTACTTGCTGCGGGTACATAATATCCTCTCATTATTGATGAGTGTACTCTGCTAATGAGAGAGAAAGCTTTGGTAAACTATTATAAATTATGGCGAAGGTGGTATGTAATCTCGAACCTTTTACAGCTACTGTTACACCATGGATTTTTATTCCTTTGTAACATGTGCATATCTTCTTGTACAGTAAAATGCTAATTTAAGATACCAGCGAATCGCAACGTAAACATTGGAAATTTTACATTCTAATTCACGAGCGTCGCGGGCTTCCATTTTATGCACAATGTGTCTCTATGCAAATTCTCTAATATTTACATGATAACTTACTAATATTACATTGCAGTTCACTGCTATTAATGAGCTTGTATCTCGAACTGTGCAATACTGTGCAATACAAATATTACACTAGAAACCATAAGACTATGAATAATTTCACTGTATTACAACCGAAATTAATTAAAATTTACATTATGTCGGTTCACTAGTATTATAAATCAGAGCAAAATCTCCTATACAAAAATATCTAAGAAACTGTTGCAAAATTTTCTCTTTTCAAAATATAATAATTCCTCAATACAGTAAAAATATCTTTTCAATTCAAATATCCACGAACAATCTAGGAATAACTGGATAAAAACAAATATCCCAATTTCCATAAACAAAATCCTTCATTTCCTATTCAAATATAACACAAATACTCATCAATATTAAATATAATATTAATTAGTGTAATAGTAAAATATTACTATACTACTTAATTTCGTCAAGCAATAACATAACTACATACTTTTACAACAATCCACGATTAAATTCTTACGAACACAACATATTCACATTCTCGCCCAAACTTATTTATTTCACACCCAATGTGTTCGTCACGAAGTCAACGAATGCGTGGCTCCGGGTACGAAAAAAATTCACCGAAGAGCGTATTCATTCGTGAAATTCGGTGGCCGGCGAGTGAATGGCATTTTTATGCATATCGCAGACGGAAAAGTGAACTCGAAGGGAAATCCGGCATTCGCCGGGGGGCGGGAGAAATAGGATACAGCTGGACATTTAACCGGGATTATGGCAGCTCGTTTGGTAAAACATTCGCGAAAGTTAAGCGCCTTTCCCGTCAGCCGACACCGGTCTGTTTTACGTAGCGCCGTGCTCCGGAGATAATTCTTATCGGCCCGTCTGGCCGTTTCAACGCATTTAAGCGAGCCTGCTTCTGATTTTCTTCGTGCCCGACGCGTGCCAACCCCGTCGCGCGCGAGACGAAATCTTTCTTGCGCCACGAGGAATTGAACGACGATCGATCCGACGCCTTCGGAATTCAAAACTCCCGCCAAATCAGGGTTAGAGACACTTCCGAGCGGGATAGCATACGAATCACTATCGATGACACGGGGAAATTGAATCAGATGGCATTGAAGACGAATGGAAATCAAAAAATGGAAATCTGCGTGGTTCTGTAGAAAAGAGATGTTTCTTTATTTAAACTCGCAGAAATTTCCATTCTAAGAAATGAATTTTACAGTCTTCTATCGATTTTCGAATAAATAACGTAATTCGGTATCTTAAATATCAAATTCTGAATTATTCTTAAAGCCTTTTTGTACCTGGGTTATTGGTGAATATACATGTAACTGCAAAAATTGTATTCTTGCATTGCACAGTGAAATAGAAATTAATATTCATTAAAAATATATTTTCTACGGTTGCAGTGTTATATATTTTTATATCACTTGTCACATTCGTTTCTCGTTTAAAATCAATACATAAATTATTCACAGCAGTTATCAACTGAGTATCTTACAATCCACAAAATTAATAATACAGTACTTCTTTCATCATCGACATTAATATTTTACCTTGAAAGTAAGATTCTTCCGATTTCCTACTTAAAAATATATTAATAATTAAGCAGCGTCGGACGGATAATAATATTTATCCCGTCCGGTTCGCCGCCATATTTAACGTTCCATATTAACGAATGTATAATACCGCGGGACACATGGCAACTTGTATTAATGAATTCATGTATTCTAACTTTGCGTCAACTGCTGACGAATATTCGAACTTAATACACGTCCGTGTATTGTATTTACAACGACCGGGCATTGTATGCGGTCAGTAAACAACGGCGCAAGTAGATGCGTGGCACCAGAGAGATTAGTTTACGTTCCCAGAGAAAACAGAAATTACTCTGACATTAATATTCGGCGGGAACGTTATCGAATCCTCTCGCGGAGAGATTCGCCGTCGGCGAATTAGCGAGAATTAAAAATCCGGTAACACGTCGATGGACCGTAATGTGCTCGACATAGAGACGAATAATTATATACGGCGTGCACACCGAGAGCTTCGAATTACGGGCAGACTTCCATTAAAGTTACACAGCCCGATAAATTCCTTGCCGTTCCGAAGCTATCATTTTTAATGATGATTACCCGAACTCGTAACTGTTAACTCTTATTGGAGTTCGAAATTATTTGTGTTTGCTTAAGTCTTCCGAATGAAAACTTTATCTTCTGTATACCGAGCAATGAGATTATTCTTGGATTCTTAATGAAAATGGGGCACATTCTGAGGTTTTTTAACGAGTATCATTAGGATTTTTGACATTTTTAAGAAAGATTAGCTGCTGAATGTAGCTTCTGTTCTTTAGGAAGCTTTGGAATTGAAACTTCAACTATGAACGTATTAGATTATTTACTAGTATATTGGCAAATATATTTTTCAATGCACTTATCGATCTCTAAGTAAAACTTCTATTCTTCATAAGAAGTTTCAATGCGTCTGAAACCATCCCCATTATTATATAACAATAACATTCAATCGTAAATATTCTTTCATACACCAAGAACCTTGTTCCCAAAAATCCTATCCACAATTCAAAATAACAGCGATCAAACATTTCTCTCCAATTTGCATTATCCGCGTAGGTAATTCAATCGAAGTACATAACCTAAAATGATAAAATACAGAATTATCAAATGAATCGAAGCGTGTTCTCCAGCGCCGCTTCGCCGGATACAAAACTTTCGAAACGATCTGCGAGACGTCCCATTCACTCGGTATTTTCCGCGATCAACAATTTCATCCTTACATAAAATGGAGAGCAGCACGGCGGCGCCGAAGCGAGGCTCATAAAGACGCGCGGACGACCCGCTCGTTGGAGCTACCCGCGCGAAACAATTTCCGAGGCTGGCCTACAAGTAGCAGGATAATCGAGGGCAACTTTTAGCGTCGAATGCGTTCCGCGCGCGGCTCGGAGCTTTGTGCGCCGTGTGTTTGGTTAGGTCTCACAAAGGATGGGGCGGCGCGTCGTGTTTCGTGGTGGTTACACACCCACCGGAGTCAGCTGGCTCGGTATCCCGTTGTCTAAGATTATGTTTGTACTCGCTGTCAGCAGAGAATCATCATTTTCGGTGATGCGGAACCAAAACCGGGGGGCAACGCGGGGGTAATGTTTGCGGTATCTCGGTGAGGGCTGCTCGCGTCACGCTGGAGAACGATCTTTAACCTTTGAAAGCTATCATCGGAGGAAAACACGTTAATGCTATTGTTGCCGGCTTCTATGGGAACGCCGTCGTTCTTGAGGAAACGGAAATGCACCTTAAATCTCCGTTTACTATTGTGGATCACTAGTTTGTTTATCATTTCTAGGTTTTGTTCGTTATTTGTTGTCGGAGTTAAGATATTCGGTACTTGGAGGTTAACTCTTGGAGATATTAGAAAAGTATATTTCAAATTTTAAATTTCAAGCTTCATAGTGTCATTACCTAGCTGCGAGATTTTATGAATTTATAACGTCTATCAGTCTTCAAAAAATCAATAATGTACGAATTTTAATAGTATTTTATAAAGTTTCATTCCTTTTTTAGGGAATTACATATGAGATGAGTTCTATTTTATTGTCTAATAATTTTTGTATTTAAACTTATCGTATTAACTCATGTCTAAATGTTTGTTACGTAAAATCAATGAAATTCCTTTCTCACTGTTATTCGTCTCAATTGATTCTGAAGTATTAAAAATTTGCAATTTCATAAAATATCTGGTAATATGGTAAACACAGAGTCCCTCCATATTGAAAGTGTGTCCGAGAATTACAACCGCAAAGCCTATTCAGAATGGCCGTTTTTTTCATTTTTCCCCGGTCTAAGGCAGGAAGAAAGGATATTCCGCTGACACAAGAGCTCAACTGTTCTGATCACTCGAACGCATCCATTATCCACCTTAGTGCTATCTAGCGCGAGGCAGAGACGCGCCGCAAAGGGATGAAATTAATAACTGTTTGCGGACACGTTGAGCTCTCCTGTAACAGTACGGTTTATTAATTTGCACCGGCCATTATGAACAAGACAGATTCAGCACTATCACGATTACACGCGACGTGCATCCACTTTCACTGGAGTTCACATTGTCCCGCACGTGATTTAGAATTTTCCTTGAAAATGTAATTCTTGTTACTTCGTGAACGAACAATTTATTAATGCAGATATTTTTTTCTTTAATCTTTCAGATTAAAAATATTATTATTAATTATAAGACAAGACAAGTTTTGTTTTTTTAGAAGGTAAAATTAAATAAGTTCTGTAAGATGTTGAAGTGTTTCTAATGATTAATTTTATTTTCAGATGTCAACATGGTGGCCGAACCGAAACCACACCAAACTGGACGTAAAAGGCAAAACGTGACTAAGACTGGCAACGATTGGTGAGTTCTCCGACAATCAATTTATCACAGATTCGAAGATAATTAGCAAGTGAACATTAAAAGAATTTCTTACAAAGAATCTAGGAAACGCTTCTTAATTTATTATCCACTGAATCTCCAACTTCAGAAAGCTAAACGTACTATCAGAAATCACATTCTTCCATTCAATAATTCAACGCCAGCCTTAACAAACCAAAATGCACAACCTTAAGCAAAATAAATTACAAATGAATGAAAATAATTTTTCATGATTAAATATTAAACAGTTTCAACTTATAGAAATTAAAAACAAAAATTCTCAATTATTCGATGACTAAACCAAAACCAAGTAAAAGCGAAAAAAGGAGTGTTCGTACGCATCACAATACTTTGAAAACATATCTTATTTATTTTATATAAAAAACGTCGAAATTGTCATCAACCCAAGAAGGTAAAATTTCCATCCAATCGACGGCTTGAATTAGAAATCACCCGGCAAAGATGGTGGTGCGACGCGTAGTCGGTAAATTGGCGTCGGTTGTCGATTGCGTCTGGCCCGGTCCGATGAAAAATGGCGTTTTTCCCGGCGTTACCGAAATCTCCGTTGTCGCGGGGCTGCTTGGCAACCGGCCCGACCTCACGGATCGCATCCCGGCCCGAGAAAGTTGGGCGCGCGCAAGCCGCGCATAAATCTTCGGCCCGTAGACGGGCGAGAAGTCGCGCTTTATTTGAAGGGCCGCCGCTTTATCCCGTCGACGGGGTGGCTGAACGCCGGAATCGCCTTAAGAACAGCCGCCCAAACAAATGCTAAACTCGATATAACTAGCTCTAGCGGGCGTTGAGCCGGTTTTCGGGCGAGGAGGCGAGCAAAGTCCGCCGACGACGTGCTGAAAACGTGTTTTACGCGACGTACGTGACCATGAAATTGCGAGCCGCCTCTGAACGCCCGCGTAACTCGCCGCCCGGAGATGAAGCACCGATAATCGCGCGTTAATCCTTCGCGCATCGCGCGATTGTTTAACCTCGGTATGATTAAGCTGACGCGAGCAACTTTTCACTGAGATAGAAACTACTTTCGACGACGACTGCGGCTGCTAGCAGGGTGTCAACTCGGGATACAGAATGTACCGACGTAACTTCGCTTGACTTTCGAGGAAGTTCGGTGGAATGTTCTTATGAAAATTGAAAATTTGTGAGTTTGATTTGGAGTTCTCTGTTAGTTTCGTTTTAGATGTTATCTGAGTTTGTAATGAGCCTTTGTGAGTTTGATGAGATTATTGTTATTACTTTTTTGAATGTATTATACATTCGTATATTTAGTTTGAAAATAGATGGAATTGAAAGCGAATTTGTATAAATTTCGAAGTACCTATTCTTAACGTGTATTTTGAGTTGGTTTTTGAATAAGTTGATGGAATGAGGTACTGTTATGCGCGAGGAATTGATTAATGCGATATTTGATGTTAAATAGTAAAGCGGAAATCTGCTATGAATTTAAGTTATATTAACCCTTAGCGGTCGAATGCCCTCGTAATGACTTCGAGCTTGCATATCTGAAATCGAAAGCTGCAAATAGGTCGTTTCATTATTCAAATAACTAGATTGATATGTAGTTTTTTCTATTTAAGACTTCGATGCATTTTCAATTTTTTATGACAGACGTTTCTAAACATTTTTAAAATGCTCGTCCACGAAGGATGAACGGAAAATAAGGAATAGGTAGTTCGAAATTTACAAAAATTCGCTTTCAATGTCTATTTTCAACCCAAATGTATAAAAGTGTAATATATTCGAAAAATTCGTTAATAACAATCCTCTCACGAAACAAAAAACCAAAGACCCACTGCAAACTTAGACATTTCCTAAAACAAAACTGACTATATTCTTGTATTCGCTTCAACCGATCCAACTAAGTCCGTTGTTCAAATGTCCTCCCCAAAAAATCGACCGACGCTAATTTCCACCGACGAGAAACAAGGAAGCTCGAAGAAGCCGCAACTCCGCTATGATGCTCAACTAAAATACTCCGGCCAATTCAGCCGGAGAAACAGCGAACCGCTAATTCTCCGGCTTAACGTTAACAGCGCAATACTTTCGCGGCCGTTCATTGCCGCGCGCAGATGAAACCTCGTTGCCGCTTCGCGTGGCGCCGGTTGCGGCGTGGACGCGAGAATTCCGCAAGGGTAGTTCCGCAGGGAGCACCGAGACACCTCGTATCGCGTCATCTGGTTTCACGATCTGCCGGCCCGAAGAAAACGAGCCAGCCAACTCCGGGAACGGTTAAAGGTCCGCATCGGACGACTGGAACACCGATTGTCTAGAAGCTCGAACGCGTGCGGCGGCTTCCTCTTGGCGTCCGAGGGACAAAACGCGGCGCCGTCTTCCTCGCGGCGAGATAGCCGCCGACGTAAAACGACAGTAAAAGCGCGATTGTTAAAATTTAACGATCCGCCGACGGTTTTTCGCGGAAATATTTTCGGCCAGAAAATGAATTTCCCCGGCCGGCCGGTCTGTGACGCGTTTTTTCGAAAAATTTCGGTGACATGCCCCGGCCGCGCGACTTATTCCCGTTCCCGTTCGACCACGGTGAATATATCGACGCCGATGGGAAACGATTGTCCAAGGAATCGCGGTCGATTCGAGCGGAATCGTTCCGTTCCCGGCGTTTTTATAATATTTTTGCGCCCGGCTTTTCGGGTCGCACGTTTTACGCGGATTTTTCCGGTCAGTCGCGTAACGCCGGAAAAAATTGTACGTACAGCTGTGTGCGTGCACGTCCGTGGGCGCGGAATTTTTTCAACAAGGTTTACGATTCCCCTCGTCATTACCCTGAAATATTAAAAAATGCACGCTTTATGTAAAATATTCGGGGACAGTTTTACGCGAGAGGAATCCTTTTATTGGCGGATTAAATCAGAAACTTCAATATGTGACAATTTTATCGCGGATATATGTATGCGGAGCTCTGTTTGAATCGTTGAGGTATCAGAATTGTAATTCTGCGATCGAATGAATTGGGTATTTTTCAGAGGGAGAGAGGGTTTTTGAAATTTTGCTCGATGCCGATTTGAAGGGAAGATTGCGTACGGTGTTCGGTGGAGTTGGGTCTGGATAAGTACAGTGTTTTGTGAGAGATGTTATTTTACTGACTAGAGCTTCGTGCAAATTGGGATTCTTATGAATGTAGTTGTAGAAATAGAATTGAGATGGAAAATGGTTTTCTGTAATGAATATTGCAAAATCTTTGAATATTATATTATTTAATATTTTATTGTATAATCTAATATAAATATTAATATACTATAATATACTATATAATAATATACAGTATAACATACTATAATATAATATGTACTATAATATGCTATATAATAATATATAATAGTATATTATCTAATTATTATATTATAATATATTGTATTATATAATTTTATATTATATTATATATTATTAAATAGCATATTATATTACATATTATTAAATAGCATATTATATTACATATTATATTATAGTATATTATATTGTATATTATTATATAGTATATCATAATATATTAATATTTTAAAATAATAAATCATTACACTTTCAATATTTTATACATTTTTTAATATTGTATACTTCAGTTCAACTTTTGCACATTCCAATTTCCTATAAAGAATGAAAATTCATAATCTAGTTATTACCGAATATACGCAAAAATAACGACGTTAATTAAACGTTCGAATATAGTTGATGTAACGTTATTGCAGTGGGCTGTGCATTTCAGGGAAAAATTAATGTAAGAATGTTTATTCGTTCCGAATCGATCGCAATTTATCGGTATATTAAATGTATAAAATCATCGTCAACAAGCCAAAAATCCATTGAATTTCCATCGAGACTAAAACGCGAACGAATCGTTAATAATAGTAGTCATTGTGAAACGCATTATTTCGAGAATTTCTTTCATTCGAACGGATATCAAGCATTTTCATACAAAATGTTGGAAACACGTAACATGTTGGTAACAGGGCTTACAAGATATCTGGCAGTAAATCGGGATATTTGAAGAAATGCACATCGCGTGGTATTAAAATCTACGTGTACATAACTGAATGCATAAAAAATGGCAATAAACTGGCGCAGTTGAAGCACGAAATTATCGACTTTTTAAATGCTCCGCGAGCGAGGCAGAATATTCAAATTCAATTGCAGTTAAATGTATCATATAAATCATCGATATAAAAGTCGAATAATTATGGATTTGTTTGGGTCAATACACTGCGTCGTCTAAACCTTTTTTAATTTGTATTTTATATTCAGTATAGGAAGATTAATGACAGGCAAATAGACGTTTACTGATAAACTGCGAATTCATATATGATATTTCCGAATTTTTTAAATACAATAAAGCATTCGTATCCATATACATCAACGATATTTTCAATTTACTTTTAATATGCAGAATCTTTTAATCAATGAAATATAACTTTCCTTCTATCCCGGTTTTTATGAAATAATAAGTTATAAATAAACACATAATCTAGGAAATAGGAGAATAAATCAAGAATATCAACAACACTAATAACAATTTTATTATATCTCTACTTTACTGTAAACTATTGCAAATATTTGAAACATTCAATCCTCTATCTTATTTATTACCTTGTCCCAGTAATTACTCCAATATCTTAATCACTAAACCTACCATACCAGCCGAAACAATTTCAATTTCCTTATTTTCCAATCGCTCACACCACAGAAGCATTAATCAATACTAAAGCCATTAAATAAATTAATCCATATTAAATCATATAAATCACCTATGCATTCACAAACCAAACCAAAAATTAACAGAAATAACACAAACTCCCCTCAATTTTACACTACCATTATCAGCTAATTAAATATTATTAAATATTATTATCACCTAATAAAATGATCAATTCTAATGCTACGTATTTACTAGAAAATTTATATTTTCCGGTCTTATTTCCCACTTTCGAAAAACCTGATACGTTCCAGTTGTTACCGGACAGTTA